GGGAGCCCGATGCGGGGCTCGATCCCAGGACCCTGGGATCATGACCTGAGCTGAAGGCAGACGCTTAACGACTGAGCCACCCAGGCACCCCTAATCTTTTTTTTTTAAAGATTTTATTTATTCATTCGAGACACAGAGATATATAGAGAGAGAGAGCGCGCATGAGCAGGGGGAGAGGCAGAAGGAGAAGCAGGCTCCCCGCTGAGCCAGGAGCCAGACATGGGCTCGATCCCAGGACCCTGGGATCATGACCCGAGCCGAAGGCAGATGCTTAACCATCTGAGCCACCCAGGCGCCCCGTACCCATTTAATCTTCCCAGCCATTCTGTAGAGTAAACGCGGTTGTCATCTTCATTCTCCAGCGGGTAAACAGAGGCACAGAGAGGCCTTCCCCACAGTTCGCAGCTTGTGAGTGGGATTTGAACTCGGGCTGCGGGAGTGAGGGGCGACACACACGACCCCGCCCTGCCTGCCTTCACCGTGCGGCTGGGTCAGTGAGGCTGGAGGTCTGTCTGACGGTGAAGCTTCCTGCAGATGGCTGTGCGGCCGTGTTCGTGGCAGAGTCTCTGGCTCCCATGTCACGGGGTGACAGTCTCCCAGCTCTGAGGCCAGGGCCTGAGGGCGCCCAGCTGAAGAGCCCCGCCATCCCCTGCCTCCCCTGCAGCAGCCTCGCCCACCGAGAGGCTGTGTTATGGTCTCGTTATCTTCATTCTTACAGGAGATGCTCAGAGGGGAACCGAGACTCAGAGAGGGATAAGAATTGCCCGCGTCACCCGGCAAGGAGATGGTAAGGCTGGGATTCAAACCCAGGCCGCTGGATTCCAGAGCTGGGTGTTGGGGATTCAGGTGCTCTTCGTGATGAAGCAGTGGGTTTCTGGGGCCGGGGCAGCAGTACGTGGCAGGGCCCCATCCCCCCGGGGCCCTGTTCTGCTCTGACTAGCTGTGGCCCCTACGGATCCGCTGCCGGCCCCCCTCCGGACAGATATGCTCTCCAGTTCCCTGCTAATCTCGCTGGGCCTCCCCTTCCCAGCCTCGCACAGGCCAACAGTCAGTCACATAAGAACAGGCTGATAGGTCACAGCCACCAAGAAGGAGTTGCCAGGGAGGCTTCTTGGCCACGGGGCTTTATCTCCAACTCCTGGAGCACGGCTCGGCCATTTCCTCCCTCTGCAGTGTGGACTTTTTGTTCTGGGTGTGTTTTCTTCCCCTTTGGTTCACCGATTCCTGAAGATGGACTCGTGTGTCCGACCCTCTGTGTCCATCCACAGACACTCACTGGACACCTGTTGCGGGCCTGGCCCCAGCTGGGCTGGCTTCTGCAGCGGCTGTGCTGGCCCTTGCTTGCCCAGAGGGTAGGCAGGACTCCAGGGAGGGGGGTGCTTCCAGATCGCCTTGACAGGGAAGCCGGGGTGCATGACTGTGTGGGCAGGATCTATTGCTTGACAGAGCGGGACTTGGGTTCAAATCCTACTTCAATAATTTAATAATAAAGTCACAAATGACCCAGTTTTTTAAATGGGCAAAGGATCTGAGTAGACATTTCTCTGAAGAAGATACGCAAAGAGCCAACAGCACATGAAAGATGTTAAACATTATTAGTCATCAGGGAAATGCAAATCAAAATCACATGAGCTATTACTTCATACCCACTAGGATGGCTTTCATCAAAAAGACAGATAATAACAAGGTTGGAGACGATGTAGAGAAATTGTGGCCCTCGGGCCCTGTGGTGACATGTAAAATGGTACAATTGTTTTGGCAAACAGACTGGTAGTTCCTCAAAAGGTTAAACACAGGGGCGCCTGGGTGGCTCAGTTGGCTGGGCAGCTGCCTTCGGCTCAGGTCATGATCTAAGGGTCATAAGATCCAGCCCCCCATCGGGCTCCCTATTCAGTGGGGAGCCTGCTTCTCCCTCTCCCTCTGCTGCTCCCCCTGCTTGTGCTCTCTCGCTTGTGCGCGCGCTCTCTCTCTCAAGTAAATAAATAAAATCTTAAAAAAAAAAGGTTAAACAGCATTACCATATGACCCAGCAATTCCACTCCTAGCTATTTACCCAAGAGACTTGAAAACACATATCCAGGGGCACCTGGGTGGCTCAGCTGGTTAAGCGTCTGCCTTCGGCTCAGGTCATGATCTCAGGGTCCTGGGATCGAGTCCTGCATCAGGCTCCCTGCTCAGTGGGGAGTCTGCTTCTCCCTCTCCCTCTGCTCCTCCCCACCACTTGTGCTCACATTCTCGCTCTCTCAAATAAATAAATAAAATCTTTAAAAAAAAAAGAAAACACATGTCCACACATAAATATTACACAAATGTTAATAGGAGCATTATTCATAACAGCCAAAAATTAGAAATAAACTGAATGTCTTTCAACTGATGAATTGAGAAATATAATATGGGATGTTTCTTAGCCACGAAAAGGAATGAAGTCCTGACACCTGCTCTCACACGATGTGCCTTGAAGACAGGCTAAGTGGGAGAAGCCAGACACACAGAGGACCACGTGTTGTAGGAATCCACTTATATAAAATGTCCAGAATAGACACATCTGTAGAGACAAAAAGTGGTTGCAAACCTACCTGGACATAAAGCCACATCCTGCTTACACCACTCACTGGCTGTGGGCCGTGGGTAAGCCACCTTGGCTCTCAGACCCTCAGGCTCTCCATCTGTAAGGCAGGGTAACCCAAGGACCCACCTCCAGAGGAAGCGGTGAGGACGAAAGGAGGGAGATGGCACCCTTAAGGCTTGCGGTAGAGACCCCGGCCCGAGGGAAAGGCTCTGAAGGTGGAGGATGATGCCCGCCTCAAGCACGCCCACCAGGCTCAGCTCATTTCTGTACCGTTCTGTAGGTTTCCGACACATCGTGGTTGAAAACATCCATGGTTTAAAAGTAGGGAGGGAGGTCGGGGACAGACCCTGGAGATTTTTGTGACCCTCAATGGAAAGAAGCTACCCTCCCAAGCACCCACTGTGTGCCTGGCATAGATGTCTGTCTCCTCACAATGACATTATCGGCCCCCCATGACAGATGCAGACGCTGAGCCGTCACCTGCCCTTTGCAAACGGCTGACGGTGGAGCTGGGTTTCACTCCCAGGTTTGCCTGGTTGAAAGTCAGTGTCTTTGCCCCTCTTCTGCCTTCCAAGGAGGGGACATTTTTGAAAAGGCTTGACTCCTGTCCAAATAAGGGATTGGGTTATTATCTCCCAGACCTGGAGGGGGGGCAGCCCAAGGGGGAAGTCGCTGCTCCTAGATTTCTCTTTTATTTTATTTTACTTATTTATTTGGGGGGGGTGGAGGAGCAGAGGGAGAGGGACAAGCATACATGGGGCTCGATCCCATGACCCTGAGATCATGACCTGAACCGAAATCAAGAATTGGATGCTTAACCGACGGAGCCACCCAGGCGCCCCATCACTGCTCCTAGATTTCAAATAATAAGGATGTGTTCATGGGTCCTCTACTGGGCCGTGGGGACACGGTAGGGGTTTAAATGCCATGTTTGCTCGAACGTACAGGCTGGCAACGTGGCAGCTGGGGTGAGCCAGGGCCACACCTCCTGGGTAGGGGGTGAGGGGCACAGGCTCCAGAACCAGAGAGTTGGGGTTGGAACCCCCGCTCTGCTGGTGACATGGGCAGTTACCGCACTGTCTGAACTCGATTTCCTCGTAATGGGTGGGTGAAAGCATTGAACAAATTCGTTACCTGGAGTCACTCAGCATAGCTTCTGACCTGGGGTGAGCTTTGGTATCACTGGGGTGAGTCAGGTGGACAGCTGCAGGGAGCCCAGGATGGGGTTGTTGCCCACACTGGGTTTTGCACACTCCTCTCCAGACCCAGCGGATGGGTGGCCAGTCCATGGGAAGTTTGCCCACAGTTTCCCTACCCATTTATTAGGAGAGAAGAGGAAGGGGACACTGCCGCCGAGAAGCCTGCCCCCATCTCCCCAGCCAGGCCGGGTTGCCCACTCCCCACCCCGGCCCCAGCCCCCATCCCAACCGGCCTGGCCTGGTCTCTGTACTCCTCCCTTGCTTGTCCCTTCCTCCCTTGCTGTCCATCTCCCTTTGGTCCCCTTTACCACCAACTCCAAGACAGCCACCGACTGGGACCAGATGGCCTTTGGAGTTCTGTGGACATGCTGTGGAGCCCAGCCCTGCCTCTGAGCAGCAACTTGACCTCAGTCAGAGACTCCACCTCTCTGAGCCTCCTTCCTTCCCTATAGCATCAGGGTTAGCAGCTGGCTCCAGAGTCTGATTCTGACTCCCCACTTGCTGCTGTGGCCCCCTGACAAGGTAACTCAGCCTCCTTAGCCTCAGTTTCCTCATCTGCAAAATGGGGACAACAACCACATCTCAGTGATTTGAGAAATCATTGAGAAAATACACGTAAAGTGCTCAGAATGGTGGGTGAGACATAGCAAGTGTTCAAGATACTTTGGGCATGGTTACCATGATCCTGGCCTATTAGGACTATTGCAGTGCACAAGGTCCTGCCCCAGGGACCCCATCTCCAAATGCCAGGCCCGTGGCCTCACACCCAGCCTGATCTCTGTCCCCCCACCAGCAGCCCGTTAGACTGGGCACTCTGCTTTGCATGCCTCCTCGTCCCCCCAGCGCGGACATGGTGGGTGCTGATGTCTGTTGAACAAACTAAACAAAAAAAAAGATGCAGAAAAAGAAGGCCAAGAGGCTCCACCTTTGGCGGGAAAATGCACGGTCCACTCATTCAGCCATCAGTCGTTCATTTATTCAACTAATACCTGCTGAGCACCTGCTGTTCAAGGCTGTGGGGACAGAGCAGCGAACACAACAGGCAAAACCGCTGTCCTGGTAGAGCTGACATGCTCGTGCGGGAGACAGACCCCAAAGCAAAGGACGAGTGACATGTGGAGAATACTGGTTTGTGATAAATGCCACAAAAACACCGGGGAGGGTGCCAGAGAGGTTGTCCTTTGAGACCGGGCAGCCAGGGAAGGCCCACGGAGAGGGTGACATCCGAGCAAAAATTTAAAGGAGGTGAAGTTATTCGTTCATTCATTCGTTCCTTCCTTCCTTCCGTCTTTTCATCAGCTCCCCCAGGCATCAGCAAGCATTTCCTTGGGCCTGTTCTGAGGCCCGAGCAGCTCTCAGGCAGGGGTCTCCCAGCGGTGGGGGGAGAACACACTCACCCACCCTGGAAGAGTCCGCAGAAGCGAGGGTGACCGTCATGGGGTCCACCCAGGACGGAGGTGTTCTCGAGACTCGGGACTTTCCGTGCTGAACAGGAGAGGCTTGTGCAAACCAGAACGAGTGGCCCCCCTCACCGAGATTGCCCTCAGTACCAGGGGTCCAGGGAAAGGTCAGCAGGGGCATCCACTCGCTTCTCTGAGGCTGGGACACTTGTGAGGGACGGGGAAGGGAAAGGCTCCAGAGTGCCACAGCATGGGGGGGTGCTGCAGGTTTGGGGACAACACTGCCCACTGGGGGTCAGTGGGCAATGGGGCAGGAAGGGATGCCAGGGTCTTGGGTATCGGCTGCGTTGACTGTGGGCGGCAGGCCTCCAAGCAGGTGGGTAACTGTGTCTGCATTTTAGAAAGAGCCCTGCTTTGCTGTGCAAGGGTTTTCCCTGAGGCAGATCATGGAGAGAGCGCCATACCGTGTCCTCGTTCCTTCTTTCCTTCATTCTGGCAAGCGTTAAGCACCTTCCAGACCCCCAGCCCTGGCCAAGATGTATGCGCTGGGTCAGCAAGCCAGGGAGAGAATTACACAGCAAGTAGTGGAGAATCTACGGGAAGGGTATATGGGTGTCTTGGTGAAGAATAAATAAAAATAAATTCTAGGCCGCATATAAGGCATCTGGGGGGGGGCATGGATGAGGCAGTGGCCTTCCCTCCAGCAGCCCAGGCCCCGGTGCAGGCTTGTGGGGACGTAAACCTACCCTTCGATGGTGTGTGAGCTCTGTGTGTGTGAGGTCCTCAGAGGAAGGGCCCTGGGGCAGGCCTGGGAGGCCAAGGGAGTTGCAGGGGATGGAGAAGGAAAGGGAAGGGCGCTCAGACGGAGGAACAGCAGAGACAAAAACCTGGAGGCTGGTGATGCAGGGATGTTGAGGCAACAGGTCGTTCTGTGTGGCTCAGTGGAGGGTTGGAAAGAGACCGGAAGGGAAGCTGTGGCCTCATGGACCTTGTCTCCTTGAATCGGTCTCTGAAAATAAAAGTAAGTCTGGCCCCACTGTTGCAAAATCAGAGAACACAGGAAATTATTTAAAAAAGGAAATACAAGCCCTAGGTTAGCCCATGACCAGAGACAGAGATAACCACTATTTAGTATTTGATGCATTTCTTCCCAATATCTTCATGTATTTATATATGCATATCTCCTAACTTAGAATAATAAAATAGTTTGCATCTTGCTGGCTTTTGTGGATTTTTTAAAAAAAGATTTTATTTATTTGAGAGAGAGAGAGAGCGAGGCAGAGAGCACGAGCAGGGTGAGGGCCAGAGGCAGAGGGAGAAGCAGGCTCCCCGCTGAGCAGGGAGCTGGACTCCGGGCTCGGTCCCAGGACCCTGGGATCATGACCCGAGCCAAAGGCAGACGCTTAACTGACTGAGCCACCCAGGCACCCCTGTTTTTTTGTGTGTGGTCTTTTAAAGATTTTATTTTATTTTATTTTATTTTTTATTTTTTTAAAGATTTTATTTATTTATTTGACAGAGAGAGACACAGCGAGAGAGGGAACACAAGCAGGGGGAGTGGGAGAGGGAGAAGCAGGCTTCCCGCTGAGCAGGGAGCCCGACGCGGGGCTCGATCCCAGGACTCTGGGATCATGACCTGAGCCGAAGGCAGACACTTAATGACTGAGCCACCCAGACGCCCCTTAAAGATTTTATTTTTAAGTAAGCTCTACACCCAACATGGGGCTCAAACTTACAACCCTGAGATCAAGAGTCACATGCACCACCAACTGAGCCAGCCAAGTGCCCCGACATCTTGCTGTTTTTTTACTTAACATTACATCAGATGCATTTTTCTAGTGCCATTAAATAGTCTCTGCTAACTTGATTTCTAAGCCATTCGGATGGCTCCAGCCAGTGGTGGATTCTTGGCTAAAGTGGTGATTTCTCATGGCTGGGCACTGTGGCTGTTTGCGCTTGCTTGCTGTAACAAAGAACACCATGGTAAACAGCCTCCATCCATACATAATTCCATGTCCTCATGGCTGATTATTTTGGTGTTTTTTCTGATCAGTTCCTAGACATGAGATTCTTGGAAGACCTGCCTGGTGCAGAGCTGGCTGGGTAACCAGGGGAGGAGGTGGGTTTCTCAGGGCCATATGTCCCCACCTGAGGACAGCCTGGGCCCCAGCTGTAAGGAACAACTTGCACTTTCTGAATGCCTCATGCTCTCTCCTACCTCCAGGCCAGTTTGTCCGGGTGTTACCAACCCCCGCCCCCAGCTTCCTCTCTTCCGCCTTCTCTCTGTCTTGCTAGCTCTTCCTCATCTTTCCAGACGCTGGCATAAGCTTCTCCAAGGAGCTTTCCCGGAGCCCCCAGGCTGGGAGCCCCCACTGCCATCCCCTCTGCAGCTGTGCCCGGGCCACCTCCATCCGAGTGCTTTCTCGCTGGGTTACAAGTCCTGCTTCTTTGTCTGGTTTTCCTTGTCCCCCGAGGACGGGGCCCAGGCTGGATTCATCTCTCAATTTCCAGTACTCGGGGGTTGAGCTGGCACCTTCCAGTTTCAGTAAATGTTTGTTGAGCAAAGGAATGGAGAGTTGGACAAATGAATTGAACAAATGAAACAAAGTCTGTGGGGGAGGCTGAAGCGCAGACATTGGACTTCAGACAAGCATCCTGTCCAGGGGGACCTAGTGGGGTGCAGAGCAGGACCCCTGAGCCAGGAGCAAGGAGCAGGGAGGGTAGGGCTCTTGTGAAAGGAAGCTGGAAGCAGGGGCCCAGGCAGTGCCGTGCAGGGTAATGCAGACAAGAACATTGCAGAAGAAAGAAAAGTTTCATGGGCTCTGGAGCCCCCCATCTGGATTCAAATCCTGACCCGACTGCTTACGAACTATGTGACCCTGAGCCAGTGACTTAGCTTCTCTGTGCCTCAGTTTTTCCATATATAAAATGTGGATGCCGAATGCTAGTACTTCATTCATCCATTCATTCATTTTCTTCCTCGCTTAACACTTGAGTGTCTGTTCTGGGCCCAGGATTGGAAACTGAGAGGGAGCTGACCAGGGCAGTCCCACATGCAAGCCAGCCCTGCAGCTGAGATGGAACCCAGGTGGCGGCCGCAGCTTCTGCTCAGGATGCCCCGAAGTCCACCCATGAGCCCCGCAGTCCACCTCCCAGGCTGCTGTGGGACCATTGGAGGTGCCGGCTCAGAGGGAACACTGTCACTGGCCTCCTACAGCATCGTCACCGTCAGGAGTCTGTGCCGACCCACCACAAGGTCTTGGAGAATGCCCCCACCCCTCTGAGCCTCTGTTTCCTTTAGGGTGAACAACCATCTTGGTTTGCCTAGGAAGGAGGGTCTTCCCAGGGTGGGGGACTCTCCATGTTAAAACTGGTTCAGTCCTAGGCAAACAGGGATGGTTGGTCCCCCTAGTTTCTTCATCTGTAACATGGGGAACCACCTGCCCCCCGGGGCTGTGGTGCAGAACATAAGCATGCACATAGGAGAGTCAGAGAAGAATTCTAGATCGATTACATGAATATTGAAGAATTCTATGTGGCATGGAAGTCCAGTTATGAAAAAGAAGGAGCCTACTCACAGGTACCGCTCTGGAAGAAGCTCTAAGATACATATTTTTAGTGAAAAAAGCAAGGTACAGAATATTTTGTGTGGAGTGCTTCCACCAGAATCAGAGGAGGGGTATGAATAGACACACACAAGCTCATGTGTGCATGGATTCTCTGGGGACGGAACTGGGTGGCTGGGGAGAAGAGGTGGGGAAAAGATTGGCTTTTCACTATGTATCCTTTCTTGTTGGAATTATTTTAACCTTTTATTGTCATTATCAGGTTGAAAAACCTCCTCAACGTCTGTGTGTCCAGAATTCAAACCAACAAACAAAAAACTATTCTAAACCATTAAAAGGCCAAAGACAGAGGGTAGGAAAAGTGCCTAGCTCAGGGTCCAGCACCCAGGACGCGCTTGAATGGCCTTCTCCCCTCTCCCACCCGAGACCTTGTTGATCACTGGTCTGGGTATGCGAGGGACCCAGTGCTCATCAGGCTCAGGTGCAAGAGCATCCTGGAAAGACACCTGTGGGCTCCATGAGGCAGCCTGACTGCAGGCCTGGGGCTCACAGGACCCTCACCCACTTTGGTGGCTGCATGTCCAAGGTGGCCGTCTGCCAGGATCCAGGGGCCTTCCCCGCCTCCTGGGGTGGAGGTAGGCCCATCTTGCAAGGTAAATGGCTCAGGTTTCACATACTTCCAGACTAGGAAACCTGCATCTGCTGCTGCGGCCACCAAAGCCTGCTCTCTCTGCCTCTGGCCTTGGGGAGAAAGGGCCACAGCTGGTTCAGGAAGAGGCTCCAGACCCAGCCTGAGACTATCCCCCGGACCTGACCACCACCGGCCAGCCTCCCATGAGTGCCCAGTCCAGCCCTGCCTTGAGCTTCCAGACACGTGGCCAGGCTCTTTTCTTTTTTAAAATTTAGCATGACGCACATATTTCAGGAAAATGTTCTCATTGTAATATCTCAACAATGAATAAAACGTGGCGAATGAAAAGCCAAGTAATTCCCCTGCATTTCCTGAGCCGCATTCCCGTCAGGTATTACTGGCAGTTAGTGGGTATTCTTTTGAACCTTCTTACTATCGTGTGTGTGTATGTATCTGCATCTCTTCCTCTGCATGCACACGTCTATCTCTAGCTGGAACTACACCTTTGTCTGTATCCGGGCCAACTGTGTATGCAGAGGTGCTGGGCCAGTGGTAACATTCTGTATATTTTGTTCTGCAAGGTGCCTTACTTTTCACTGAAGGTACCGCGGATGTTGCTTTGGGTCAGTACATATACAACCACCTTCTTTTTAATGGCTGAGCAGTATTCCATCACGTGAGCTGACCCATCATTTGTCTGTCCAGTCCCTTACTGAGCATTTAGATGGTTTCTATCGTTTTGCTTCCACCAACAGCCTTGGGCAGGCCTCATTGTGCATTGAGCGATTTCTTCAGGACAGGCACCTGACTCACCTCCCGGCACTACTGGAGGGCCTGCGATAAGTACTAACAAAGGGGCTGGGTACTGGGGCTGGGTACCGCATTCGCGATAAGTACTAACAAAGGGGCCGGGTACTGGGGCTGGGTACCGCATTCGCG